TTCAAGAATGACAAGAAATCAGCCCTTCCATGAAGACAGCTGTATATATAAGGGGTAGAGAAATAAAAGTCTCAACAGAATGATAGATGCTTAATGTTTTGCCGGCAAATAAGGAGATTCCTTTCAAACAGACTTTTTCAAATTTACAGTGATTTTAAGGTTTACTTTCTTTTTTTAAAATATATTTGTATTGATTTCAGAGAGGAAGGGAGAGGGAGAGAGATATAGAAACATCAATGATGAGAGAGAATCATTGATCAGTTGCCTCCTGCACACCCCCTAACTGGGGATCCAGCCAGCAACCCGGGTATGTGCCTTGACTGGAATCGAACCCAGGACCCTTCAGTCTGCAGGCTGATGCTCTATCCACTGAGCCAAACCAGCTAGGACTCACGGTCTACTTTCTTTGCTCCTGGCTTAGTACCCAGAGATCTCATCTCTCATATTTGATTATTACAAAGGGGGATTTTAGATTATAGTCTTACTAGAGGCCTAATGCACAAAATTCGTGCAAGGGACTCGCCCTCGCAGGCGCTTACAGTCCCTTGTAGCCTCCGCTGGCCCACACAGTCCCAGATTCATCTGGAAGGTTGTCCGGACAGTCGTCCAGGTCATTCAGATGGTTGTTCTGCTGTTTGGTCTAATTAGCATATTAGCTCTTTATTATATAGGATTAAAAAAAGAAAAAAAGCCCGTTAAGTGAATTGTATGTGGGAAGAAATTAGGGTGTCCCCAGCCTTTAGTTAGTATTTTACCTTTCTTTTTTCCTGTCCATTTTTACAATCAACGAAGTCTTACTAAATTCTGAGTCCATGATCTCTTATACCCACAATTTCATAAGATCTGGAAGGGATCTAGAGAGCATGTGCCCTGGGCTCTGAAGACATGTGCATACAAAATGGTTAAGACTCCTGATTTATTTTCTTGTCTTCCTCCTAAATTCCCTTCCCTTGCCAGAGAAAGCGATTGCTAAGCTCAGTCCTTGCGTTGTTGTCAGTTTGCTTCAGGCATGGCTACAACGGTAGCATGTTAAACACACACACACACACACACACACACACGCACACACACAATGGTAACATGTCTATTATCTATTTTATCCTCCCCACCTCCTAAAAGTTTTCACTCTATGACCCCATTAAAATTGTATTATCTTTTGTCCCCAGATTAGATTAACTTGCTAGAGACCCTTACAATTCAAGAGTCAGGAAAGGAGCTCCCTCCTGTTCAATTCATTTTATTGTTAATCCTCACCTGAGGATATTTTTAAAATATATTTTTTATTGATTTCAAAGAGGAAGGGGAAGGGAGAGAGACATAGAAACATCAATGAAGAAAATCATGGATCTGCAGCCTCCTGCACGCCCCACACTGGGGCTGGAGCCCACAACCCAGTCATGTGTCCTGATCGGGAATCAAACTGTGACCTCCTGGTTCATAGATCATTCAACCACTGAGCCATGCAGGCCAAGCGAGGATATCCTTTCCATTGATTTTTGGATAGAGTGGCAAAGAGGGAGGGAAGAGGAAGAGAGAGAGAAACATGGATGTGAGAGACACATCCATTGGTTGCCTCCCACAAGTAATCATCCTGACCCTGCAATCCAGGTATGTGCCCTGTAATGGGAACTGAACTTCAAATATATCTATATTCTTATTGATTTCAGAAAGGGAGAGGGAGAGATAGAAACATCACTGATGAGAATCATTGATTGACTGCCTCCTGCACGCCCCCTACTGGGGATTGAACCCACAAGTCAGGTATGTGCCCTAACTGGAATCAAACCTGGGACCCATTAGTCTGCAAGCTGACGCTCTACCCACTGAGACAAACCAGCTAGGGCTCTGTTCATTGTAAACTAGGTATATGTTTATGATCCCTCTTTTGTATAATTTTGAATTGGTAAACCAGTGGTGACCCAATATTGTAGTTTTGCTTTAATATATCTTTGGACTTTGCTGTCTTGAAATATCCAAGGGCAAATCTGGAAAACTCCTATGCTGGCCATATGGTCACCTATGGGAAGATGAGGCTTACGTAAGAGGCAAAATCC